TAAAAGCGATAGTTATATAATTAGTAAATAAATGCACTTTCAAGCAATGCTTACCCATTAATAAAGTGTCAATTGTTTATGAAAATGCAAACAAATCTAGTGGTGAGCGATGAGCACATATACAGTCAACCAATGGTCACATGTAGTCAACGGTGTGTTGTGTGAAGTGATGATTCATATGATGACCACTTCTGGTGTAATATCTGTCACACATTCAACAGACAGTCAGTCAGAGTCTCTCACATCACTGTTAACGGCATTTTGAATGCAAACCAATGCAGCGCTCAATGCATACAAACACAGTAAACCATACACTCAGCAAAATGTGCACAATATCTGCAGTGAGAGCAGAGGCGCACCTCTTCTCACACTCTCATCACTTCATACATACAGTACGACCACAACACACACATCCCTATCCTCTACTCTATGCACTGTTAGGCATACAAAGCCAACACTGACTGTCACTCCCTTTCGCACGTATGAAATGTACTCGTGGTTAGAGTCCGCACCCGAATCTGACAGAGCATTGCAATTGACTTTTAATTGACGCAAAACTTATTCCCTATTTTGCACACAATATTCAATTCAATGAGAAAGTGATTGACATTCTGGTGGCAAACCTATTGTCAAACACTTCTATTAATATACATTCAATTGATTCAATTACTCATTATTTATTGCATTCAAAACATCTGAACGAATGAACACGTGATTCAACACTGAATCCAACGCTTGTAAACAAACCCACGATTGAAAGCAATTGACTGTTGATTTGATGCCAAAGAGGAATCACTGATCCATAGGAGACATGAATATCAGATGTGCTAAAGTAAGTGATGACTGATTGTGCCATTGATTGTCTACTATATCTAACATGCTGTATGATGTATGGTATGTCAGCCATGTGATCTGATGAATATGCAACACTGCAACCTGTTGTGTCTGCCGGAGAACTATCAGATGAAGTACTACTTCTATCACGGCTTGTCGTGGCCTCAGCTCTCATACGTTGCCGAAGACGAGAGCGGATCCATTGTTGGCTACGTGTTGGCCAAGATGGAGGAGGACTCGGATGACGACCCTCACGGACATATCACGTCACTGGCGGTGAAGCGGTCGCACCGGCGGCTCGGGTTGGCTCAGAAGCTGATGGACCAGTCGTCGCGCGCTATGATTGAGTGCTTCAACGCGAAGTACGTGTCACTACACGTCCGCAAATCCAATCGCGCGGCTCTTCACCTGTACGCCAATACTCTGCGCTTTCAGATCAACGAAATAGAGCCGAAATACTACGCCGATGGGGAGGACGCCTATGCCATGAAACGAGATTTGGTGGACTTCGCCAAAATGCATTCACTCAAACCCGCCGAACCCAACACCTTCTGGGACTCGCATAAGACGTCCAGTAATAAGACTAAAGATAATAAAGACGAGTAAACCATCAAATCGCCAACTAATTTGTAAATCACATCAAACTTATTAATAAAGTTTTGTTTTTCCTTTAGTTTTTGTTTTTCCATTAGTTTTTGTTTTGGCTTTGAATGTAGTTATGATTTGGATGTGAGTTGTGCGCAATTTTAGTCTTCAGTATAATTGAGTTGTCATTGAATTTATATTTAATATAAGTTGCATTCATATGTAGAGTATTTGTAGCGCACATTCACTCCATATGTCTTGTGTCTGTCAACTTTGATTAGAGATAAACACAAAATATTGATTTATCCCAAAATCGTATTACAGTTGAGGCTTATAATAAGTATAGTGTTTGGGGTCAACCTAACCAGAGTTAGCTCACTGTATGTCATCTGATTATGACTCCGATTCACTGTAAAGTGATATACAATAAGAGTAAACCACAGCATAGACTGGTGCGTAACAGCCGGTGCGCTATATATAGGGTTTGTATAACTTATTAGGTTTAAGTCAAATCACATTTCTTCAGACGAGTTGTTGGAGTATTTAAGTTGAGATCAAATTTCATGTTATTTGTTCCGAACATAAGCCATAAATTTGAGCTAATTTTCACTGTTTTAATGGGTTTTTTGCAATACTTTGTCCGAACGAATAGATCTCTATTTTGGTTATTTCTCGTGAGAACATAATTGCCACAAAAGTTATCAATCATGTGGTTAACTATACCACGAAATCTTATAACCTTTAGACCACCCGTTGTATTAATTAGATTATATTCTCATATTCTGTTACTATTCTCTTATCCTGATTGTAAATAATTTAACAATATTACGGATTCTTAACGCCACAGAATTGTTATCTATTGAATTTTCAGAGATATTTTTAGTCGACTGCTTAATAAGGAATAGTTTTAAGGAATAGTACCGATATATACTGTATATATATATATGTGAAAACTTAAATTGACATGATAAATAAGTTAAAAAATAAATATGTAATCAATCAAATCGTTGAAAAAAATTTTAATTAGACATTTTCTATATAATTTAGGTTGTGTAATTCTACATTAATTTGGTTATTAATATCATTGAATCTAACCACTATTAAAGTTATATAGTGACACTTAGTAATTATCACTTTTATTAAATTTAATAATTTACTATAAATCGTAGTGCCGTTTATTTTTCAGATATGAAACTTGCAATATTCTGTAAATAATTTTCCTAATGTCTTATATGATAGTAACTCTTATCAAAGAATTTGAACATTTCAACCAAACAAAATATACAGTACTTTAATTTAGTTTTTCAAAATTTATTTTTAAAAATACTGTACCAGTAAAAGGTAATTTATCAGATAAGTTATTTTATTTCCTTATCAATTTGAATACAGTATAATTTGTAAGAATTTATTAAAAGTATTATATTAAACAATTCTTCTAAACTATACACAAACTGTACATTAAATCAGGTCTTTCTAACACATTGTATTATAATACAGTAAATTTAATACTATTAAATCACATAATTTATCACAATTTGTTAAATGACAAGCAATACAAAGATCAAATACATACTTACGGTATATTGATTATAAGCTTTGAATGTTTAAAATTTATATTTGAAAAAGTGTTCAAAATATAAATACAAAAATGTGAAAATTATCAAAGATTTGAAAGATATCAAAATGGGTGCAAAGAATCGGTGTCTTCAGAATTGGCTTCACTTACGTTTGTTAATCTAAATTAACAAAAAGATAATTAATTAATAAATTGGTAAACAATTAATTAGTAATGGTATAAGAAATTGCTTACAGATCTTGTGATTCCAGTAACAACTCAAAGGGAACGGCAGGAATGGGACGAGAATTGTTTGGGTCGTAAATGAATTGCAATCTATTGAGTGCAGCACAGAATTTATGTCCCATTTCTGTCAACTCATTGATTCCCAGATGAAAGCCGTCATACAATCCCTGATCACAACCCGCTTGAGAGCACTCGAGAGTATAACTCGCTTTCAAACCCAATTCCCTCCAAAGGGTTATTCTCGCCGTTCGTTCTCTACTCTCTTCTATATTATAGGAACAGTAGTTCAGACTAAATGCCGGCGCCGTTAGGTTTAATAGTAACGGTAGGGCTAAGTGACTGTTATCTTCGGCTTTGTTTCGATCACTTCTCTTCCATGACATCGACGGACAACAGCCGTAAACAAAGATATTCTTGCGTCGGGAGTGTCCGTGAAAATCGACTAAAACGACTGGATTTGTGTCGTTTGATATATGACTCAAATATTTAATCAACGCTTTCATGTGATAGACTGTCGGATGCAAGAGAGGGTTCGGTCGACGCCACTGTCGATTCAGATCTTCTCCCTGTGCGCCCGTCCGCGAGCTTTACATTCAACACAATTGTTTCAATTTAAACAATAATCAAAGTATCAAAACACTCAATACAACTCACTTTCCATTGATAACTCCGTCCGGATTAGACATCGGAATTATTTTGAAGACATAACTCTCGAGTAACTTCTTTGCAGACATCTTATCACTCAATAAGAAATCGATACAACCCTTCAGTATCCACGAAGAGTTGGTCTCAGAAGGGTGTACCCGACCCATCAATACTATATATTGACGACCAGTTTCATTATCAGGTGATTTACAACTGGTTATAGTGAGCACCGGTACTTCATTGCCAGCCAACGAAGTGCAAAGAGTTTGTTCTCGAAAATAAATATTACAACAATTGTGACAATTTTGCCAAAAATGGATACAACTCTTTAAGTACGTATAACTGTATGGATAACTATATGCTAAGAAGCAGTCGTCGTTTTCAAAGGGAAATGTCATTTGAAAAGTCAGTGTATAATAAGTTTTGCCATTCATTAGACTTTCGATTGAGTCGTCAGTGAGATAATGGTTTCTATAGTATGCTATCGAATGGCCCACTCTTTTCCAAAATGGTTTATCGCAGACAAGAGATTCTTTAGTGGAGAACATAACAGGTCTCTGACCCTCATTGTAGAGACTGTTTTGCTTTTCGCAATTAATTATATGAAACACATATTCAACCTCTGGCTTCATATTTGAGACTTTGAAATAAAACCACTGGACGTGAGAACTCGTATTAATATCTGTGTTCAATAGAAGGGTGTATTCATTGGACATGAAATCGTTTTGTAAAACCTTTCGCAGGTTTCCACTTTCAAAACGAGACTCAAATTGAAGTTTATTTTTATGCAAAACATTATTCTCGTTATTCACATCATAGACAACAAACCATTCTTTGGTTTTCTTATCGATTCTTTCAATGATGTGATCCATTAGTTTAGTTCTCGCGGTTTTCCACATATCCTCGGATTCATTCATAAGAAGTTCTTCCAACTTATTGTTACCAATATTTGCCGCCAAATCTGGTTCGGCTAATGTGACAATCGGTTGAATACTAATGGTTTTTGTGGCCATTTGTGTGTATACTTGACGCCAGTCCGCACTCTCCATAAAGACTTCTTTACGTTTGCCTTCTTTCTCGCTTTTTATCATCTCTTTTATTGAATTCAAATCCATTTTATTTTCATTTTCATTCAGTTCTACAATTTCTTCCTCATCTATAGATCTGTTATTATTATTGTTTTGATAATTTGAAAAACAGCCACAAAATAGACTTTTAATGTTTTCGATACTTCTTTTTCTCTCTCTATTTAGGACATGAAATCGTTTTGTAAAACCTTTCGCAGGTTTCCACTTTCAAAACGAGACTCAAATTGAAGTTTATTTTTATGCAAAACATTATTCTCGTTATTCACATCATAGACAACAAACCATTCTTTGCTTTTCTTATCGATTCTTTCAATGATGTGATCCATTAGTTTAGTTCTCGCGGTTTTCCACATATCCTCGGATTCATTCATAAGAAGTTCCTCCAACTTATTGTTACCAATATTTGCCGCCAAATCTGGTTCAGCTAATGTGACAATCGGTTGAATACTAATGGTTTTTGTGGCCATTTGTGTGTATACTTGACGCCAGTCCGCACTCTCCATAAAGACTTCTTTACGTTTGCCTTCTTTCTCGCTTTTTATCATTTCTTTTATTGAATTCAAATCCATTTTATTTTCATTCAGTTCTACAATTTCTTCCTCATCTATAGATCTGTTATTATTATTGTTTTGATAATTTGAAAAACAGCCACAAAATAGACTTTTAATGTTTTCGATACTTCTTTTTCTCTCTCTATTTTCTTTTGATTCAACCTTTTGTTTAAACACTGGATTCAATTCAAAATCTTTAAATTCCGGGAAAAACTGCTCATAAGAAATAACAGTCTTATTGTCCAAATTTGTTGAAATAGATTGACTGTCATTGGATTCATTGTCTGAATCGCTTTCGTCTAAAGAATCGTAATTTTCATCGATATTACACTCATTTCCATTGGAATTCTCAACAGATTCTGGTTTATAATTGAGTTCTCCATTGAGTGGGATATGAAATATGTTTGGATTAAAGTGCGAGTCCAGTGGCAAAGGGAGTGGATCTAACAGTCTTTGAATAACAAGACTCGATAATCTAAACAATCTATTCAAATGTTGCATCTTTTTTGTTTGCATTTTATTATCGGCAAGAGTTTGCATGAAAGATAAAACTTTTTTATCAACGCATAGATGTATCAACTGTTCCCTACCGGCCCTCACGTATGACAAGTGCAGGAATATTGACAGAAGATTGTAAGAATAACGCATTGTTTTGTGAATTTTAAGAATATTCTTGTTTGAATCACTTTTAGTATCAATCATAAGGAGAGAGCAATCATCAAAGAGTTTGATCACAGATGACATATAGTACGAGGGATTTGTGAGTAATTCAGAGATTCCTTCCTCTAAAATAAAACAACAATTCAAAGTGAGTTAATATTCAGTCAATTTGTTTATGAATTATATACTGAAAGACTCACTGCAACGACAAACTAGAGCTAACACTTCGATGGCATGAGTGGATGAGGAAGACATGCTTTTATGAGTTAAGAGAATGTTATGAATTATATTTATTAATCCATTGTCTGACTGCATATGTGAAGACAACAAATCATTTGTGTTTTTTATGCAGAAAATCGGTGCACACAATGCTCTCATCTGAGCTATGATTCGGTAATAAATATGAGTTAAGTTTTGAAATCCATTAGAAATGACATAAAATACTTACAGCTTTTAAGAAAATTCTTTAAATAGCATAGAATTGTCGAAACGATCTTATATTTATGTTTCCACTTCTCTAAAGCATACAAACTCTTAGACAACGATGACTTATGTGTGGCATAGATTTTTTGCACAAATTTTTTATCTGAAAAATATATTTTGTTAATCCTTTTGACTCAACCATTTATTATTAGGCAAATGATTACAACTTACGAAGAGATAATTTATGCAAAACTATGTAAAAGGTTTCAATTATAGACTCCTTTTGAGTCATGCGATCTTCCATTTGAAGCAAATTTGCGATCAACTGGTCATCAGATATGATCATAAAAGCCCTTTCCTTTCGCTTTGCAATTGATTCGCAGCTGAGAATCAATTTGAAAATCAATAGACAGTTGTGATTGATATTCGTGTGATTCATATTTTCAGTCTTCAAAGAGTTGCATAAATAATAAACAAAAATAGTCAAAGAATGCACTTTTGATAACAAGTAATCAGATATTAATGACACACATCTGAAAATAATTTATGGAAAAATATTTGCCGAAAATAACTTTCGATCAAAACTGATATAAAATTCTTAAGTGAAAGTAAAAAATGAAAAAATATTTTCACTTTTGTAAATTCTGGAAAAAATCCAAATCAAAGCACAAGTGATTGGAAACAGTATAATAAAACACTAAACAGTTGTATAAATGTTTAAATACTACTGTTTCTATGACTAAAAACTCTTTTTATTGAATATAAAAACTAAAGAATTCGACATAATTTAGAGCTTACTCTCAACCAAAGTGTTGGCAACAAATGATTATAATTATAACAAATTATTGGCTCTGTTTTATAAATACCTGAATCAAAGACTTTAGGACTGACATCACATTCTGTATATCAAAGTTGAGAATTTGCTCCAATTTTCCTAATATAACAAACAATTATAGAATTTATTACTAAATAGGAATCTATTAATAAATAATTACTCATTAATCAGTTAATTATATCGGTTGTGGAGTTTTTTCTTACCCTCAATATCGGAATCATTTAAGAAATCAATGAGATTTGGTTGACATTCAATGACAGGAATTTTATCACATTCAACATCACTGTTAGTTTGCAGTTGCAATGCATTCGTGTTAGACTCACAGCTATTCATTGCATACCATTAAACCTTAATTCATGACAACATTATGCAAAATATAATTTAGTTATCAATTATATTAAATTCAATTGTATATGTTAGTCAAAGCATTGTAAATTTATAAATACATTTAAACAATTTATCAAATAATTAACTATTTGACAGTGAACTGAGACTGAGTAATAAAAACAAGAATATTCTGTAATACAATTTCCACACTATTTGGCACTGAATTCAAATTTTAATTTTTTTCATCTGCGAAAAACTTAATTAATATATAATTTAATGGCTTTTTAAATATTAAAACTTATAAACTAATAATAAACGCGTGAAATATTAAATTACATTCACATTTTCATACACAAATACCGATACTAACCAAATTAGTGACAAGAACAATATTTAAAGTTATAATTGATAAAATTATTGATTAGATATAGTTATGCCATTAATTGAAATAAATATATTATTATTTGTTTTATAAAAAGTAGCAAAAATAAAATAAATAACACATTAGTATGAAGTGAAATGAGAATAATTATTCGTTTGATGTAATGCTCAAAGAGTGAAGACTAGACTCGAGAGGGGTTTCCACTCAAATGAAAGACTTCTTTGAAATGATGTGAAATGAGAAGTGAAGTTATGTTTTGGGAAAATGTGTTTAAATTTAATTTTAAAATTAGAGCCAATGAGCGAATAAATGGCTGAGTCTTTGAGTCTTATGTAAAGTTATATATGAATTATATATGAGTTATTCGTTTCGTTAATTGCATTACTGTTTGAGACACAGAATCGCAAGAAATTCTGCACTTTTTGTTTGCAATGCATTTCAAGCCTACAATCAATTGCATTGTTTTCACTGTTTGTTTCACTCACTTGTACTCCAATTATGGTATATATTTGCAGATAATCTCATCGCATGTTTGGCCACATATTTGCATCCAATGGTAGACCCAAATGAGATCCGAGTTAACACAAGAGATAACAATTCTTGAGATGAAGACAACGGTTCCAATGGTTCCTCTGGTGATGCCAACGATGACTCCGAGTCTGACGGCAAGTACTGCTCATTCATATCATTATAATGGACAACAAACTTATGATTAATAAATTGAATCTATATTTAAATGCATTTAAATTTGACACTAATTTAACAATAACTCAATTCTTGACACAATTTTTGTGAACTTTTAGAAATCATATAAATATTTGGTTTGAGATGTGATTTGAGAAACAATTTTCGGTTTGACTTGAATGAGGAAAATAAATACAAAACTAATTGTCAAAAGAAGTACAAAATAATGCAATTCTCCGCTAAAAACACATGAAAATGTAATTATTTGTTGAATGTTTGAGTCAAATATAACACAAACCCATAAAATTGAAACTATTTTTGTATTTGTGTTTGTTTTGCATTAAACACCTATTTTTAGCTCACATTCACTTCAGAGGGAGACTGAGTCCACACAAAACACTCATTCCCTCATCCCTTCCCTTCCCATCCCATTAGCCATAAACCCGAATATACTTACGTTTGGAAACAATTGAATTAACACTGAATTTGTCTTGAATACATTTTACTTCATAATTATATAATTGCAAACAAATTCACTAACATGTCTGATATGTATTATACGTGTATAAGTGAAAAACAATACTTTAATTTAAATATTTTTTGTGAGAGATTGAAATACAATACATTAGATACAGAATATGACAATCAATGGGATTGTTATTTAGCTAAAGTTTTAGTTTCAAATTTCATAAAAATATTAAATATTAATTTCTCCATTTTTGTAAACAGGATAATTGATCTGAACTTAATTTTAAAAATTAACACATAAAAATGTACATTAGATTGACATAAATGAAAATGTAACCTTTTTAAGCTTTAACGCATAAGAACTTTCATTTCTATCTATAGATGCAATTGATTTTGTCTTTCATGATATCATTCAATGTTCAAATTAATATTTAGCAAAGTGTGTTTGCAATCAGTAATTTGAGATTATGTTCAGTAATTATTTCAAAGTTATTTTTATTCTGTAATACAGAATCTGTATGCTATTTATGTTTAGCTATAAGCAAAGAATAAGCTATTTGCAACAAAAACAACAAATGTTCCTGATTATTGTATATAACTTAACCATATTTATAATATGACAGATATTATACTTTTAAAATATTTAGAAAAGGATCAAGATCCAAAATGAAAAGTTCTAATTTAGAACTAAACAAGTTTTAAAGTAAAAGTCACATCAATTGAGTGCCTGAGTGTGCAAAAGGTGTCACTGAGTGTCACAATCAGGCATTCATTGCAAACGTGTTTCCAATGCTTTCATACTTTTGCCAATCATTTGCACACTTTGTGTCCCTTTTGTTAGTTTAGTTTCACTTGAATTTAGGTCTAATTCACATCCAATGAGACAATGATTGACTGAATTCAATAAATTAACCATTTATTAGGTATTTCACTCATTATATCAACTATTAATTGAGTACTCATTTATTTGTATCCATACATAGGGAACAGCTCTGCTGCCAATGACCGCAACAATGGCTTGAATGACAATTTTGGTGATAATCTAACCTTAAGACCACATCCGACTGGACAGACATGTGGTTGAGTGGATGCCTCCCAATTGGTTGGGTTTGTTGGACCCAATCATTTGGATTCCCGTAAGAGTTGGTGACCAATGAGTGGATGGCACTGATTCGGAAGACGCCAACGAATGGCATATTCGTTGATATGTGGTGAGTGTTATGGAAGGGTAGACTGACTCGTGAGTGTAGTGGTGATGCAGAACCAGCTCCAAGATTTTGTATTCATATAAATGTTGGCGTTTCCTATCTCTGCAAAAGTGATTTAATTGAAGGATTGGTTGAATCGCTATGTTTTCCATTCAATTGAATGAGTGGTTAAACACGAAATTCAACTACAAATCAATTTGTCAACCATTTGTTTGCCATTTATTTCTATAATTGATTGATATATCATTAAATTGATTGTTTCACTCATCCATAGGTTTATTGGGAAGAGTATACCTTTACTCGCCATACCATTCAAACCAGTGGTTAATGTATGGCTCCAACAATGAGTCCATTCAGTGGATCAGTGAATCTTCGGGAATAATGTATCGATTTTTTGAGTGAATCTATTAATATCTAATTAATTGTCTAAATTTTGTAAATGTTAATCACATTCACTGATTGTTATGTAATTGTTTTGTTAAAGTATTTGATGACAATTATAATAAAATTAATTCTAAGAGTTTGCTTATGAATTGGCGGATAATTCTTGAATATTATAATATTATTATTGATTACAATATATGGGAAACAAATGAATTGGGGAATGTGTAGAAAGCGGTGACCTTTTCACAAATGCTTCCCTATCGGACTCAACGCATAAATAATAAATATACCGATAAATCATTTTCTTTGCCACTTCTCCACAGTATTTGACAAAACTATTTGTTAGTCATTCATTCATATATTAGATTAAAATTAGGATTTTTTGCCTAAAAGGGAAGGAATGCAAGAAATGAACACAAAATGCAATTTCTCAATCAGAATATGAATATTCATTCGACTATTATATCCTTATAATTAATTATTTACAAGAATATTCTGCATTCATAACAATTCAATTGAAACACAAAATATCACTTAAATATAATGAATGTTTGAATTATGCAAAAAATGCCCAGCAATGTCTGTGTTGGGAGCAAATTATTTATACCGTATTAACTATCATACCGTATATTTCATTACAATGGATTATACATTTTATTTTATCAATTAAACCTCTGTTTTGTTTGATTAATGTTTTGAATAACCATCTAAATTACGGTTGTGTCTGCTTTTGGAGCAACTTATGAATGAAATTAATTTTAATCAAATATTTTTATTGATCACAAATACAAATTTCAAAAATAGCAATATTTATTACTAGTATGACATGAATAAATTATTTTTTATGCAGTATTACATAAATTCGTTTAACAAATAAGATTAAAAGTTATATGAATTGAGATTTAATGGAGTGGCCTGGGAGGTAATGAAACAAAATTTAGATCAAAATACGTTAAATAAAACATTAGTATGAAAATGTCAAAAGTTTTTGGCAATAATTAAGTATTTATACATTCAATGACTGCATGTTTAAGTAAAAATTGAATCAAATATTTAGTTTCGGACAAAATAGAAATAAACACAAGTAATGGTCACAAGGAATGCAATGTTAAAGACATTAATGTCATAGAAATACAGAGCCATGAGAACCAATTGAACCACAAGTATATCCAATATATCAGTGATTAAATTGGTGAACGTAATGACCGGCAATTTGTTTTTCTGATGAACTCTTTGAAGATAATCAGTGGCCGCCCAAAGGGCTACCGTAATGATGAGAAATCTCATGAAACCCAATGATCCCAAAGACCAGATCAACGCCTGGGCCTCGCCGTCGAACTCTATCTCATAAGCGATATCTTTATAATTATAAGCCATATATAGGAGGGCTTCGTTCTCTATGAACCAGATATAGGCGCCGACCCGAGAGCTCAATCTCCAGAAGCGACTCTTGGCCTCAAACAACTCGAAGTCAGTGAGAGGTATGAGTGCCGCCGAGTATAGGATTAGGAATATGTAGTACACGAAGTAATACCAGTTGTCATACAAACAGATGGGTGTCATCTCTCCGATCAGTTTGAGGTACAATACGAGTGAGAAACTGATTATCCCTAAGAATATGATGTAAACGCAGAATAGATGCCACGGATTGACTGGCATCCAAACTGCCATCACTTTCATCAGTTTTGATAATAGAGAGACTCTCGTCCTCTCGATCTTCATGAAAGGCATGTCATCTCCCGATCCAAACAACTCCTCGCTCTTCATTTCGACAAACATTTTAATCACTAATTTTGAGACAACTGTAGAATTTGTGACCAAATAGAGACTGAAGTGCATCTAAAATGTATAATAAATTATTTGATAGATCTTTACAGTCTCATCACTCGTACAACTCATCAATTGATAAGTAGAGCACAGTTTAACATATAGTGTATTAAATAAATTTATATTGTAATTAGTTTTATGGCTAATAAAAATTTTTACATCAAAATAACTTTATTTACATTAATTTAATAAAATTTTATTTTATTATAAATAATTCCCACTTTATTTCGTGGACAACTTTTCGTAAAGAATTATTTAGAAAATAATTTTTATACAATTCAGAGATTCATTTATTTTATTTGTATTTTATCATTTTTTGTACACTATTTTCATGTTTTATTCAATTTATAAACGAATTCAATGAATATGTTATTAAAAGTATTCGTTTTTCAAAGAAATGAAATTTTAAAATACTTATTGTGCAAACATATAACACAGTATAACATTTGTATTCACAAAATGAATTGAATGAATGTCCATAATAGTGGACAAAACGCAATATCATTCAAAATTGAATGTACAGCAAGTATGGACATCATATATTTGATATAATAATGCACCTGTTTTTGTTGAAAATAAAATTTTAGTTCACAATTTATCATTTTATTCATCTGAAACTCTTATTGAAAATAATATAAATTAGTTTGAATTGAATGGATGTCATACTCTTATGTAAAGCAATTAAAGAAAAGCAAAGGTGGGGAGAGTATGGATTGACAAGACTTAGTGTCTGAGGATTAGTCACAAAACAGTTTGTTATAAACCAACGTTGAGTACAATAATTGAATAGAAAAATACTCAATAATAGAAAGTATTGTACAAAACTTTAAGACCAAAATTGGATCTTTTGTTATATTATTGATAAGAAGAAGTGATCAAAAGTCTGATAATGAGGACTCTATAGGTATTGTCTAACCCTTCAAATATACAACCATAACAACTTTGTTTACTGTTAGTAATTCTGTTTATTTTTTTGGTATAAAAATCCTGTATATTTTTGTGAAAACTTAATTTATTTTATTCAAATTACAAATTTATATAATATTTAAAATGTATTAATTAAATATATGTTATCTTGTTAGATTAGATTGGAAAAATAACTTAAAATGTGTTAATTGATTTTATATTTAATTTTCAATATTATAAAATTA